CTGTGGAAGCCAGATGTGCATGGTTTCTGCTGAGACAAGGTCTCTCTCATTTTGCCGGGAGCTTGCTCAGGCCTCAAACTCCCCCCCTCTCCAGAACTGGGACGAAAGTGCACACCACCCCAGTTTGTTTTCAGTTAGTTTTTGAGACAGGGTCTCTGTATGTAGCCCTGGCTGTCCTGAAATTTACTATGAAGACCATGCTGGCCTCAAACTCACAGATCTACATGCCTCCACCTTCTGAGTGCTGGGATTAAAGGCTCTAAGGGAGGGAGGGTCTCAAACACACACGTGCTGCACAGTGGTAACCCTACCTCACTGTGCTTTAATGTCCCTTCCTTCAAACTACACCTTTAATAAAGGTGTTCTGGCTAGTTAATTAAGGACGAATGGTAAAAATTAAAGTGCAATTAAATTACTGTCTCTTAAAACCAGAGTGAGATGATAGACTAGGTTGTAAACACAGCAGGAAGAGGAAAACCCCACCAACCTACAAGTAGAAGTAGCAAACATGAAATATACTTATCTCTCCCCTAAACCTTCACTCGGAAGTAAAAACCCCGACTGCTCGTCAAGTCTTCAAATGGGTTCCCAACCAGAGGAAATACAAAGGACAGCATGATCACAAAACTAGGACATATTAAAACTATGCCGTGAGGACAAATTCATCAAAATCCCAAACGGGGAAAACAAGTAAAGGAAGCCTGTTTCCTTCAAATCAGTTATGTAGATGAGGAACCTATTGATTTCACAGATATCAACTAAATAGAACATATGACCTTGTTTGTATCCTTGATCAAAGGAACTGATTACTAAAATCAAGACCAATAAATAAATATAAATACAATTTGGGAAAATCTGAATACTGATGGGTATTTGAGGATCTTAATTGTTAAAGGTAGGATAATGTGACTGTGGATTTCTGAAGACTATCTTTCAGATAGATAACTATGGATAAAGTTGGGGTTTTTTTGCTTATTTGTTTGGTTGGTTGTTTTCTGGGAGATAGGGTTTCTCTGTGTAGCAGTCCTGGCTGTCCTGAAAACTAGCTCTTGTAGACTACGCTGGCCTCAAACTCAGAGATCTTCCTGCCTCTGTTCCCTCCCCCCACCGAGTGTTGGGATTAAAGGCACCAATGCCCAGCTTAAAGTTGGGTTTGATCCAAAGCATCACATAAACTGGGTGTGGTAGTGTACACCTGTGTCCCAGAAGCAGGAGGTCAGGAGTTCAAGGTCACCCTTTGGTACAGTGAGTTCCAGGCCAGCCTGGGATACATGAGTCCCTAGATCTAAAAATAATTTAGTAAATTAAAAAGAAAATATCTTTTACGCCAGGCAAGTTGTGGCACATGCCTTATAGTCCCAGTACTCTAAAGGCAGAGGCAGCCCGATCTCAGTTCGAGGCTAGCCTGTTCTACAGAGCAAGTTCCAAGACTACACAGCTCTAAGTTCTAAGGCTACACAGTGAAAAGTCTGTCCTGAAAAACCAATAATAATAAATGAATGAACAAATAAACTTCTCTTTTAGAACTATGTACCAATATATTTAGAAATGGAATAATTTAATCTAGGACTTGCTTAATTCACAACAACCAAGTAGAAACTGGGGAAAGTAGACAGGGATAGCAATTATCAATTTCTTGTGATTAAAATTTTCTCACTAAGGGCTGGAGAGATGGCTCAGCGGTTAAGAGCATTGTCTGCTCTTCCAAAGGTCCTGAGTTCAATTCCTAGCAACCACATGGTGGCTCACAACCATCTGTAATGAGGTCTGGTGCCCTCTTCTGGCCTTCAGGCATACACACAGAAAGAATACTGTATACATAATAAAATAAATATTAAAAAAAAATTCTCACTAAGCTGTAGAGAAAGGTAAAGAGGAAACAAAAAAAATTCAACTTTACCAATAAAAAAAGAGCAGAAATAGCTTTGAATTTTATGTACAAATTTTTTAAATTATTATATATACAGTATTCTCAGTATTTTGTCTGCAGGCCAGAAGAGGGCACCAGATCTCACTATAGATGGTTGTGAGCCACCATGTGGTTGCTGGGAATTGAACTCAGGACCTTTGGAAGAACAAGCAGTGCTCTTAACCACTGAGTCATCTCTCCAGCCCCCATCTACAAGTTTTATAAGTTGGGCAGTTCTGGTGGAGCCACACTACCTCAGGACTCCATTGGTTAAAATGAAAATCAAGCTTGTATTTGCTCCAGCTAGCAGCCTGAGCCTTAATCTTAACTCAAAACCTGTGTTTCCCTTTCGAGGATTCCCACTAGGTATTCTCATTTGGCCACACTCTGAATGAAGCCCCTTTAACCCTTTTTCCACAGTATCAAAAAATGATACTCCTAAAATGCAAATCTGCTCAGCCATATCCTTAAACAGCTTTCAAACAACTTCAAAAGTACGATTTCAAACTGTTCAGTCTCCTCCTGAGTCCTTAAAACGACTTAAGTCCCTCCATTAGTGGCCGTCTGCCCCCTCCCTCCTTCCTGCCCTCTATGCTCTGGTGAAGTTCTTTCAGCTTCTGCACAGCCCCGACTGTCTTCAGTACTCTGCAATGCCCTTTCGACCCATCACCACCTACGCCGGCCTTGCTCCTCCCTTGTCAGGCCTCAGATTAAAATGTATATCCTCAGAAAGACACTGCCAGGGTTTCCTCACACTGAGCATCTTCTCTCACCTACACAATACAGTATTTGTCCCCATGGTAAGTTACTATCTCCCTAAAACTCAGTAACTGTTTGCTAAGAGAACCTAGCTGTATCTGCTGTCCAGCTAGACTACAAACCCCAAGGGTAAGTGCTGGAGTCCATTCACTGCCGAACTCTAAATTTCTCAGTTCACAACTTTCAAGCCCTCACCGGCAACAAAAACAGCCAAGTGGGCAATATAGAGGGATCGGGACCTTAGATGGAAGTCTAGGAAATGGACTGGAGCGCAGTGGGGATGGCGGGTATAACAAGCTAAAAAAATATCAATCTAACACTATTTTTTTGCTCGAGTCGAGGTGTTCATAACCACCCCCCCCACTCCCTGCCCTTAATCTGTTTAGGGATTATATAAACCCACAGCTAAATCTTTAAAAAGCTTAAAATGCTCCTCAAACTAAGAATTTGCATAGTTAACAAGGTCACTGTAATCTGATAAACAGTACTTACTTAAACCTCCAGTGAAATTACTGAAATACACTCAATTTAAAAAGTAATTCTAGGATGGGTGTGGCGTTGCACACCTTCAATCCCAGCACCGGGGAGGCAGAGGCAGATCAATCTCTGCCTGTGAGGCCAATCTGGTCTAGAGAACAAATTCCAGGACAGCCAGAGAGATTATAGAGAAATCCTGTCTCTGACCCACCACCTAACATGCCAAAATAAACAAACAAACCCCACAATTAGTTTATTTTTACTTCGTTTTATGAGAAGGGTCTCCCTGAGTAGAGTCTATACCTCCTACCTGCACACCTTGGATTTAATTTATGAGACTAAAGTCACAAAGTGAGACCTTATCTCTCTCAGACACACATATACCGCCAAAGCCTTAGATTAAGAATCACCATTTAGCAACTAACTAAAATAAGTAAGCAAAAACGAGATAAAGTCTTTCTTGCCTTATTCAGCTGGCAGCTGAGAAAAAAAAAAGAACCCTGCTTGACTTAGCTCCTATCCACCCTTGCTCCAACTCTCGTACAATTACTAATCTCACACGTCAGCATGTATTCATTTTGTTACAAAATCAGAAGAGTTTTTTATGGTCAATGCTGGCGATCAAATTTTGGGGCCTCAGGCATGGTAGGCCAGGCAGGTACTCCCACTGTGCTAACACATCCCCAGCCTAAGTAGAATAATGCCTGAAGATTTCAAAATCAGTTATGGTTAATTAAGAAAAAAATGCAGAGTGTCACTGTGTAACCACTAGCAGGAGACGCCGGGTTTATAACGAGCCACTGGAAAACGGGAAAAGACTGAAGTAGTAACACGTGCGTTTCCTGGTTGAGAGATCAGAAACTAGTTTTCGCAACTGCTGGTTGCACCAAATACGCCACCATAAAGAAAGGCTAAAAAGGCACTCGGGAAAAGGATGTACTTGGCACAGAAGGCAAGCACCTAGCCAAATGTAACGCTATTTAAGTCTTCTCTCCAGGGATGCCACGCGACCCCCGTGCCCGCCGGCAGACGCACCGAAGCCACAGGTTGGACCACAAAGAGCCCCTATTCCCAACCTCTCGCCCCTCCCTCAAAGTTCACCCGAAGCCCGCAGTCTCGGTCGCGGCGGTCGGCGATGCAGCTCCTCACACCACTCTAGCGAGTCACCAGGTGGGACACCGATTGGCAGGCGGGGGAGGCTGGGCGGGCATGCCACGAGTCCTAAATAACTCCCGCCCCAGTCAGTCCCTTCCCTCCGAGCCGAAGGCGGCAGGAGTGCACCACGTGAACCGGCCTCAGGTCGTCCCTCTTCCGAGCTAAGCATCTCTCCAGGCGCCCGCTGGAGACCGGGCTGGAAGCGTCTCCCACAAGGTCACCCGGCACCGTGACCCGACTCCCGCAGCCCGGCGGCCACACCTGACCGCGGGGTCCCGCGCGGTCCGGCCGGGC